ATGTAGCCTTTCTTCCAGTCGGTAGGTGCCTTTCCTTCCTTCCAAACTGTTTGCAATATTGACGTGAGCGCACCTATCGTAGTCCCTGGGTCCGTTTTCAGTGCTTCGGGGGGAATTCCGTCTGGGCCTGCCGCCTTTCCCGTAGGAAGTAGAATTCACCTTGATGAATCTGACACATAAGTTGGTTAAAGATATCAATTAAAAACTTCTAAAATCCCTGAGATTAGTACATAAAGTATTCTTTCTGATAACTTCTCTTCAAGTTCTACAGTTATACGGCCACATTAATTAAAATTATTGGTATTAGCAATTATGGTGACAATATGCATCAATATAATACTGAACTCAATACCAGATAAAATTAAGAAGAAATCATATGGGATTTGTAAATTTATATAGGTTTCACAGCAACCGAAGATAGCAAAAGTGTCTGGGCCCATTTCTTTTGCACAAAAAGCTCCGATTGTTTTACGCGAAAATAGCAATGGCCTTCGCAGCGTGGCAGAGTATTTGGTAGCTAGAGGCTTTTTGCAATCTATTTGAAAACAAGATAGATGAAAAAAGATCTGATATCGAACTAACGATGGTTTTATATTAAACCTTTATTTAACCACGCAAGTAGGTGAAGCCGAATCAAAAGAACTAATTATTATGGACATATAACTGTAGGACCTGATGAAGAAGACGTTATCTAGAAAATACCAGCTGTCTTTTAAAATCTCTCCCCATAAACCACCTGGTACGGACGAGGATGGATAGATTTTGATAAAGTTTCACAGTGTTATACAGTAATGTTTACTGATGACGTTTCGAGCACAATTTATTGCTCATAATTATATCACATGATGGAGTGTGCAAAGTTCTATGTCGAAAACCGACCGACCGACCGACAATCCTATTTAGTGTATGAGACAATTCAAACTAAAGCAACTACTGACGTATGTGAACGGTAGCCGACTGGAGTTGCAAATCAAATTATGAAGACCATCTTAGATAAGGTGAACAAAATCCCGGAGGGTTGAGCTTTTGAATGGATTATTTGCAGTTACCGAGACATGAATAGAAGGCTTGATAGGATAAATGGCGTTCTGAAAAAACTAGGATTTTGGGGTAGATTGAAGAATAGTCATCTTTACAACAATTTCGCGACTTTTATTTTCCCTTAATTCTGATTAGTTGCTCAAAATCAGTGGCACACTCAACTGGGGTGGGTGCCATAGTTCAACTTCAATCACAGATTTCTCGATAATATCTCAATCTTAAGTTTTACTTTAAATTCACGTTGAGTGGAAGACGTACACAACTAGAAATCACCGTGGAGTACAAGTAGCCAAGTAAAGTTAGTGACCCTAGGCTCAAGCTTGCAACAATTTGAATCCACGTTTTTTATGCTGAAGCTGGACAATTTTCGGCAATGAATAGAAGTCTGTTCTTTTATTTGGTATTAGTTTAGCATCCAAACTTTTTTATACGCATTAAAGTTCAGTAATTACCAGAGTCCTTTCAACACCTTAAGCATTAGTTCAGCACTGACTAGCATTACTAAAGCACTACTCAAGAACTATTCAAGGTAGTTCAGCACTAACTGGTAGTTTTCCAAATCCTTTTATGCAGGTTGACAGAGAATAAACGTCTATTATAATGACTTTGATACATGGGGAAGAGAAGGGGTAAGTGGGTGAACAAAATCCAGTGGCTTTTTCTTTATATTAAATGCAACGATACGTCAGACCTCACTTTTAATAATTCGGAACTCTCCTATTTCAGCGGAAATTACAATAGTAATCAGTACTCTTACGTATGGCCATCGCAAGAAACCCAACGACTAGGATATTCCCTAATCCTGCCTAAGCTTACAATTATGCTGATGTAAAGCTGGCGAACTCTTTACTAGAGCTAACTTTCAATAGTAAGCAAATTCTGAAATGATGATGAAATTGCTTGCTTTTCCACACGAAATGAGCCCAGTACTTTTTCCTAATGTGGCTCTCTATACTAAAACACTGTGTTCTCAATTCCCGCATTCTCAGTAGTAGTTCGGAGCCGTTTTCAGCGTCGTTTGCATGCAAAAGCCTTCCAGGGAAGACATTAACTCCGGCTATGTTACTTTTACTTCAACCCTTTCAATATTTTTATAGAGAAAAATAGTTTCCAGACCAAAAACCAACTGCCACATTAGGCGCAAAAAAACATGAAGAACCCATTAGGAAACAGAGAAAATCATGAAACGGAAACCACGCCTACAAAACGTGTAACGTTGCTGTCGTACCACGCGGTTTTTGTATTGAATCGAAACCATTAAAACTCATGTTCTGGCTTTTTCGTTTTATATTTCTCTAAATAAAAATTCAGTCGATCATTTGCCGACCATCTTCCATTCCAGTTCATATAATTTTCAGTAAGCACCTATAAACTATCCATTTAGATTCAGATTTGTTGATTGAGGACTGAACTCATGAAACATATTTAACGCTTTTCTAGTAAGCTTCTGTGCTTGTCCAAACCCTTCTTGAGTGAGTCGATTGAGGGCACTGACACCACTTCTTCTAGGAGTCGGATCCAGGAGTTTATGACTCGGTGTGAGAACTAGTACTCCACGTTGATATAGTTCCCCCTTGCTTTCTGAACTCTTCCGCTAAGTTCTATGAGCTATTCCGACCTGTTGAGAAGAGAAAAAGAAAATAGGCCAGGTGTGTAGTCATTATTTGAAATTCCAGACATTGAAATGAGATCTCTCTGACTATGATATTACATAGAGAAGACATTCAGAATGTCTAGTCTTTCGACGCATGATAAACTGGTCACGACAAGAATCACACGTGTTGTGTTCTTCTGAGCCCTTTCTAGAATGAGTGAGTTCCCCTTAAGACGCAGACTGGTTGTGTGGACATAGCTCTTCTTTTTTTGACCCCATCCGAGTTGTTTTAACGCGCAAGGTTTGAAAAAGAAGAGCGACATTTTTGACACTGAGAATGAACTTATACTTTTATTGTATAAATCGCATCAGAAGCCTTTGCTTTGCCTTAACTTAAATTATGTAATTTAAGCTGTATTATAACTGTTAAGTTTGTGTTTCCCCTCACTATACTATATAAACAGAACATTAGATCCAATAATCTATAACATGCTAAAGTTTCCAAAATGAATCGACAATACCGTTTGAAACAAACTCACTGTTATTATTATTATATTTAATAATCTCAATTAGTGCTTCCAAAAATTTTGACTTCATATCGTAAATGTGGACAAATTCCTCCGGTTAATTTCGTTTTAATTTTTAATTTTATTTACATTTTGAGTAAATCAGATGCAATACTGTGACAAATACTGAGAATTCCATTCTGTATTATAAGTACTGTTTTTGGAATAAAGTAGATTATTATTAGTAGTAGTAAGCCATCGTCTCCGTAGGTATGCAAATTTTGTAGCAACTCATTGGATTTCCCCATCTAAGAGGCCGTACGACTTATTATGTCCAAAAGTTGACAAAATGTTCGAATGAAAGAAATATGAATATGCAATTGATGCCAGGAATGAAGATTCTGGCCTGAATCACAGACTGAGACAGAATTACTTCCCGAAGCGCTAGATACAAGAGAGGTACAACTTGTCCAAAAATCTGCTACGACAGGCAAAATGTCCCGAAAACCTAAGAGGACATGTGGTGAGAGCTGTCTACTAGCCAAATTGGTAGACAGTAATTTACGTCAATATTTACGTTCCCAAGATTTGTCGTGAGAAAATGTGAACAAAGATTGATTCAAAACCGACCACAGCAGACTTTGCGTAGGCGGATGCAGTTAACATATAGAGGATTTGACATTCAAGAAACAGTCACAAATAGATGAAAGATTAACTTTACGTGAGAAACAACCAATCGGAAGACTGTGTTTGTTTGCTTAAATATCCATAGTAATGTACATGCAAATATATAAATATGCGTTGATTTCCTTAATAAATGATCTGTTGCCTGACTCTTGCCTTCTGTCGTTACAATTGGTGTCGCTGCCTACCGACAAATGGAAAGCCTATGCCCTGCAGATTTTGGTGAAGATGATACTATTGAAGAAGCTGATAGCCCGTACAACTCTCCAGTGCTGTTAGTAAAAAAAGGCGATTGGGAAGTATAGATTCTGCGTTGATTTTCGACAGTTAAACAGTATGACAGAGTTAAGACCGTGTGCCATGCCAACAGTAGTAGAAACTTTAGATCGCCTACAAGGCGCAAATTTGTTTTCAGTTCTCGATCTTCGCTCAGGATACTGGCAGATACCGATAAAGCCAGGTGATAGAGATAAGACGCCATTCATCGTGGGTCAGACACAATATCGATTTAAACGCATGCCGTTTGGACTAGCAGGTGCACCGTTCACGTTCAGACGACTGATGACGCTATTACTTAAGAACTTGAAAAACGTTGAGGTGTACGGT